AACCTAGTCCCTCCAGAGTTTAAGGCAAACGTTCTGCGAAAGTAAAACTGATAGCTTTTGGTTATTCCTTTCTAGTACCTACTGGTTATATTCGGAATCTCTGTGGTCGTTTACCCAATTATCATTTATTTTTTATTGAAAGATAACAAAAGACAAGAAAAGTAATTTTGCCTTTACAGAATCTTAGTTTTGCCCTTGAAAAACATTTCAAAGCCCTCACAAAAATTTAAAAAATATGTTTTTCATAGGTTTCTTGATGTGCTCTACAATCTGGACAGATCAGAAAATGTTTTGGAAAAAAAAGTTTTTGACCTAGAAAACTGGTTTTCCAAAAATCGGATCTCCGGAGGCCTAGCAGCCCAAATGCTTGTCATAGTCGGATTCAGCATGTTTGATTACCTATTGTCCACTAGCTTAGAGCTCAAAAGCGAGTTGACAGTTGGGGACCTTTCCTCGTTAGATACTCATACTTAGTTTTTATTATAAATTACTTCGTAGTAGTAATTTTGGCTTAGCGATTTTGTTTGATAACTATGATTTCAATTTATTAACTTAGCAAAAGAAATTTTACTCAGATATTAATTATCTAATTTCGCCAAAAAGTACTTCTAATAGGGGACGGGCTTCAAGTACGTGAGGTTACCGTTGGGCTACTAGCAGGCGACAAAATTTGACCGCAATAGAAGACCACCCTTTAGAACTTGACTTGAGAGACAAAATAGAAGACCAGGTGGTCTTCTATTATGGGGGGGTTTAGCAAATATTTTGGTTACTGAGAATCTATAAATTAACTGAGCCTTCAGTATTTTCACTTATCAGTCAATTTATTTACATGGGTCACTCTGAAAGTTTTTAGATTTACAATGCTCTTAGCTCAGTTTAAAATAATTTTATTATATTTGTTCTAAGTAATGTCCTTGTAAACTAATGCACTTATTCATTCTTTCAAACCATTGTTCATAGCATTGGTAGAAATCTGCTGAATACAGATGAATGTCTTTCAAATGTTTTAAAACAAGTGGAGGAACGTCGACGTCTTAATGATCTTATTATTCATCATGACAATGCATCAACTCACAAGGCAACACAAACAATGGAATATTTAAATGCTCAACGTGTTAAATTAATGGGTCATCCAGCGTATTCACCAGACTGAAGTCCCTGCGACTTCTGGTTATTTCCAAAAAATTAAAGAACAACTTCGTGAAAAAAATTTCCAGGATATTGATGAACTTCATGCTGCTGTTCAGGAACAAATGGACGGTCTTCGAAAAGAAGATTTCTACCAATGCTATGAACAATGGTTTGAAAGAATGAATAAGTGCATTAGTTTACAAGGGCATTACTTAGAACAAATATAATAAAATTATTTTAAACTGAACTAAGAGCATTGTAAATCTAAAAACTTTCAGAGTGACCCACGTAAATAAATTGACTGATAAGTGAAAATACTGAATTCATATGAATGCGAATGTGAATGGTAAGAAGCAAACAAGTCTTTTGTGTGAAATTGTATGGTATATTTTTTTGTGTATTCAAACCATTTCTCTTCCTTTTACTACTGTAAATCATCAGTTAGTCAAACAATTTTGTAATAGAGGAGAAAAGCAAAACAGATTATGGAAGACAATAATGTCTAAGGTGCAAGGAACCCATACACCTTCCACATGATATTGTACATAAGCCGCCACTATCTTGCTTGAAGTTCTCATCATCACGAGATGTTTCTAGGACTGTTCAAAATTTCATTACCTGCCCGTTGCTTCGGGTCGAAACATGTTTTCCTCCGATCTACAGTTCTTAAAGCGGTATCTACTGAATCCGTTATTTTACTGCATCTCGACATTGCCGAAATATATAAATCGAAGATGATGCAGCCACAAGAATCAGGAGCACAGTGTTAATTCCTCTTTTGAGTGATGGTTATTAAGGGGATACACCTAAGTAAGTGTCAGTTCAAATGACATCTGATACGTAGGTTTTGAATGCGAAACGAATCAAGAACAATCTATTGTGAATCCTCGTAAATAGTTTATTCTCCGGAAAAACGTCTGCTACTTCCAAATTTAGGAATTAATACCACTTATTCACGCTCTTTTCGGCCTAGCTTCCATCGTTTTAGTAGTAGACGGTCAAATATTTTTTTTCTAAAACATCTTATTCTTATCACTTTATAAGTTGACTGTCAAGCATTTATCATTTTTTTGAATACTGATAATGAAAAAGCAGCAAGAGCACGTTGTTAAACGCGACGATTTTTTTCCCTACACTTCACCGTAATCTGCTATTTCATGAAAGAGACGGAGAAGAAGATTGAGAAACATTCCACACTGTCGAGTAAACGTTAAAGCTATAAGAAATTTATTTTTGTAGCGAGAATTATGCCTTTATCAGCTGGCTCGAATTTTGTTCAGCCAGGTGTTCCATTCTAAAAAGTAACGTTGCGTTTTGCTATTTTCCAATCTAAATCACAATAGTAATGCTAATCATCAAAAAAGGTAGAAAAAAAAGTACATTAATCTCGAAGATAGCGCATTGGACAAATAAATCTAATCTGATCAATGGATAAACTACGTCAAATTGTACTAGATAACGTCAAGTGAATAAAGACAGGGGAGATTTCGTCTAAAATATTAGGTATAAATATAGGTTAAATTTGAGTTCTGAGAAAGAAAATTGTGAATTACGGGCACAATTGCAAATTTTTCGCATCTTATTAAGAAAAAATGAATTTTCTCGACAGTGGAAAGGAATTATAAGAAAAGCTCTGCGTAGATTTTTTGTCTGTGTAATGGCGACTCGAATGCGGTGTAAATCACAGCTCCGTCCGTTAACAGAAAGGCTAAATGGGTTTGCAAAATTTGGTGCAAAATTAGTAGAAGAATTATAATTCTTCGACTAAACGATTTCCAGATCCAAAATGGTAAAAAAGAAGATGTTTGAGAAAAAGCGATCTTTCCAGTTTTTCCCTTGTGGTCGCCCAGAATGTTACCTTTCACTGTACCTTTCTGCAGTGATTTTGTAGAGCAAACATTTCTCTTTCATATGAGATGTGAACGGGCTAAGGATCAAGCTGTTACTGAGATATTAGAAAAATATTGATTTCATCCACAAATGGAACTGCTGGTGATGACTGAAAAGTTAAGATCCCGTAATTCATATCTTGGATTTCTTAGTTATCCGATGAGATCTTTCGAACTAGAATACGAATAGGAAAAAAATTTAGCTCCGGCCACTATTCCCTTTGTAGGTCGGTTTTCTCGAGGACTCTCTCATAAGTTTACTCTGAAGGATATAATCACGGAGAAAAACTACATCAGACCTATTAATATGAGAAAGTTTCCTGAAGGGTTTTTCAGAGACCAGATCTCTGGAAAACTCTTCGGAAAACTTTTTTAAAACCCAACTCTCATGCCATTAGAGATTGATCTGAGAGGGGCCGATGTTGACCTTTATCGCTCCGCCCTTTAACCATAATAAACATGTCATTTATCCTGTGCAGTTAACTTAAATCGAGAAAATCTGAATGATAAACAAGCGACATTTCTCGATTTCGGAATGAAAATAATTAACAGAATAATACAAATCAAAGCGTATGATAAACGTACCAAGTTCGGTTCTAACATTGTCAGTTCTCTGGATTTGAACGGTAATTGCAAAGTGATAAGACAGTTATTTCGCTTATCAGACGTTTGCATGAATTATAAAACATACTTTACGGTGGTTAAAGCTATGTACATTAAACTTCTCCTACCGGGTTATATATCCGAACATTACATTAAAGTGCTAAAACGACCATTTAGAAAATTACTTTGTATTTATCGCGATTGATAAGATAATATGTTGCAGCTTTTGTACATTCAGCTGGACGATAAACATTATACATTTTAATGTTAATAGCATAATGCCGGTAGAATAGTTTTTTTATTCTATTCGTTGGACAGTCCAATAGTAATCGGACTCTTGCTCTCTTCTTCTGAGACCTGAGTTCTCTTTTGATGCGTGTTTGATATGATAAATTTCAAAAACACCTATAGTTTAAATCGAACGTCTTAAGAACAAAACCAACCTATCCTAAAATTTGTTCTTTTATTAATTATGTGACGAGGATAACATTCCACTTTAAATTTTCGACAAATATGCACGTCAGACGAGGTTACAGCAAGATCAAAGGCGTGATCGTCTTCATTGTTTTTTATTATTTTTTATTATTCTTAGTAGATTCTTTCAACTACTGCGTGCGGTACCATTTTAATTTTTTCTAGTGATCTTCTCTTGTCGAGCAAAGTATAGTATTTGTCAAATTAATGCCTTTTTCCAGGATCAAAGCGACTTTTCTTCAACAATACATAATCTCTTAATCGGCTACTTCCTAAATGCGGCCGAAATTTAAGCCAATTAGTATAAAAGTGGACGCAATTTGGAACGAGTAAATTTGTATGATTCTGCGCTTCCAAATTGCGGCCACTTTTTAATTAGTGAGTAATCAACAATC